CTTCCTCCTTGGAGGCGGAAGACACCTCTCTCTCTCTGCTACTCCCTGGGAGACATTGCAGAAGACAAGCCACATGGATGCAACCAGACCTCTGAAGCCAGAGAAGCCATGTAGAGACCCCTGCCAGCGCTGAGATGCTTAAAATGCCACTGGACTCAAAGACTTTCTACCCACTGGCTTGTGATCATGCTGCATTTGGCTTCATTGCATGTGTTTTGTGAGTCTGAAGAGGGTTTTATAGATTGGTATAGATTCATGGTCTTGGACTGGACTGGATTGGGATGTTTTCTAAATGTTCAATTCCTCTTGTATATAAAATCCTTTCTTATACCATAATGTGTGTCCATGGATTTGTTTCTCTAGTCTACCCAGACTCACACAGACCTCTAGTTGGTCATTCACCCTCTGGCATCATACTTGGAACCTGCAAAGACCCCACAAAAATATAGTCTCCCGGGTGCATAGATGAGATGCCCTGAGGAGGAGACATGCTTTGGAATCTGAAAGCCCTCGTTTTACGATCCGAAAGCCATCAGTGACAATGTGACCACCAGCGATCCACCTGGCTTCTCGGCTTTCCTCTCCATAAAGCGGGGCATAGTCCTCTCCAGCTAACAGGGCTGTGGCGAGAGGGAGCACTAGATATCCAGTAAGCTTGAGTTTGTATGATTATTATTGGGGATGGCATTGCACAAGAGGCAGCATTTGGGGGGGATGGGGGGGGTAGGAGGGAGGGACTCCCAGAACTCACTAGTCCTTGCAGATCCCAAGTCCAAGTCTAAAATAAATTTTGGAGACTGTGATAGTTACATAATCTGGTGCCAACTTGAGACTATTAAGAGTGAAGGGGTGGGGTGGAGTTCAGTCTGTCAATCAGGTTGCAGCTTGATGACCTAATTTGGAGCCACCATGGAGCTAAATAGCTACCTGGAGGCCAGACTCTCTCTCTCTCTCTCTCTCTCTCTCTCTCTCTCTGCTTGTCTTTCTGCTGCAGCACTGAGATCCTTCCACCACCACTGCATCCACGAGACTTTCTACCCACTGGCTTGTGATCTTCCTACATTCGGTGTCATTGCAAGGCTGCATGAGTCTGAAGTCTAATTTATGAACTCGTATTGAACATATGGGCTAATATCAGACTTAAGGACTTGATCTGGACTGGGCCGGGATGTTTTCTTAATGTACAATTACTCTTTTATATAAATCTCTTTCTTATACACAAATGAGTGTCTACAAATTTGTTTCTCTAGTCCACCCAGACTAACACAGAGACCTTCCAATTGCCAGCCAACACCGATCAGACTCTCTTCTTCAAACTTCTATGGCCCCTGACTTCCTCTCATCCCCATCATGCAATAATGCATGGAGACACCCATCTCCCAGCATGCAATACTCCTTGTGGACCCTGTATTCAAATCTACAATGTTGTTTAGAAAGGCACCAATGCCTAGCTAACAAGGCTCAAAGTTCTTCCCATCTTTCAATCTCTATAACCCCTGAGCTTCCTGTAGTTCCCATCATTCACTAATGCAGGAAGACTCCTGCCTCCCATCATGCAATGGTGCTTAGTGGCTTCACATCCCACCAGGCAACAGCACATGGAGATCCCCCATCATGCAGTGCTAGGAGACCTCACCTCTGATCATGCACAATCCTTGCGGACCGTTGGTCCAAATCTAGAGCACTGTTTTGAGAGGCTCTGATTGCCAAGCAACAGCAGGGCTTAGAACTTCTTCTCCTCTTCAGACTTCTAAAGCCCCGGAGCTTCCTCTAAGACCCATCTCCCATCATGCAATAGTGTTTGCAGGCTTCACACCTTCCAGCATGCAACAGTTCTTGGGAAGCTCGGGGCCCAATCTAAAACAAGTGTTTTTAGAAACCGACTAATTCCAAGTCAACAACCAGTCTTGGAAATCTCCCACCCTGGGCTCTACTTTAGCCTTTAGACTTCTCCCAAGTCCCCTCAATGGTGTTTGGAGACCCAACTTCCCTGCATGCAATAGTATGTGGGGATCTCATTTCCCAGCATGCAATGCCCTCAGCCTCCAGGCTCGCTCTCTGTCCTTACCTGAAAGGCCAAAACAGACGGCTCCCACCCGGAGCAGGAACTCCGCGCCTTTGCTGAGCATCATGATGATACAGAGGCACCCCAGGGCCAGGGCCACCAAGCCCAGCACCGCTACTACTGCAGCCGCCAGATGAATCTCTGAGTCAAATGGGAAGGAAGAAACAGAGTGAGGCATTGAGGGAATGAGGAGCTCTATCCAACAGGAACCCAGTGTCAGGAAGCGGGAAGAATCAGGACTAGAGATAAGAATATTTGTTTTCAAGTCAAACATCATCCCATCAGTGAAAGGTGGGTTTATTGCGTCAATCTGGCCAATAGGAACATGTGGAACTAATCGGATCCCAGTTTGATTGGAGGGCAAAGAGATAAGTGGCTTAGCAACGTGCGCCCCTCCCGCTTGCTCTCTGGGGATCAGACCAGTTGGCTGCGTTAGCTAGTTCTCTGCCTCAACTTGTGAGCTGCACTACCTGTGGGCCAAGCCAAACCATGGATCATGTCCTAGAGCTTGAGGTTCATTGGAAACCTGCTTTGCCACGCTGCTGCTGTGCACATCACTGGAACTTGAGGCTGACGGATCCTGTCCTTTTGCATTGCTTGAGTTTGATATCCCAGCTAGGCCTGCTTCGCTAAGCTCATGGGCGGCTGACTGTTGGTGACCCACCCTGCTGTTTGCTGCCTGTGGACAGACTCTGCTTGCCTTGCCCAAGGGAGGACTCTGTTGTCTGCTTCGTTGACCTTGGACGCGGCAGCCCTCCTGAGTTGAAGGACTTCCAGTCTATTAACTGTTCCACGGAAGTGAGTTGAACCGAGTCCTCTGTACTGCTCTGTGGACTAATAGCTGTTATACCTTCTTGCTGTATAAATCTTTCCTCATAGCTAATGCTAGGGGCTTACATGGAGAACAGGTGTTTTGAGAATGATGAGGGTAATGAATGTACAAATGTGCTTGACACAATGGATGGATGGATGCATTGTGATAAGAGTTGTTTGGGCCCCCAATAAAAC